AAGTGTGTTTATATATTTTTTAGATTTTTTGGTTACAGTATGAATTATTTAAGAGAATCTTTGTTTTAAATTTTCAACTCTTAGTTATAAAAACTGAACATTTTATAATTTTTTAATTCCAACGATTGATAATTTTCGAGATTTTGATAAATTTTGTCAAAATTCCAACTTTAAATGCTTATAAAAAAAAATCGTGCCTATGTATTTTTAATATTTTTCAACTGATATTGTAACAATATATCAGGAGCCTTGTATTAAATTTTTACACTTTTTGGCCCAACAGATAAAACTTTATTGATATTTATAGAAAAAAAAACTAAAAAAAATTGAAATCTGTAAATGTCCATAAACAGTTCAAAAAGAGTCAAAATATTTTCAAAATTGTATGGTTTATAGAAAATGCTAATTTAAACATTCAGTGAAATTTTCATGTATCTACAGTTGTTCGTTTTTGAATTGCAACAAAATAAAGAAATCGCTACATGAGTAATCGAGTGAATATCCAATGTTGTAAAAATTTGAATTTCAAACGCTCATAAAAATTTAATTTGACTGTCCGGTAGAGATTTTTTTATTGATAAAGGTAGATAATCTTATAAGGAATCTTGTGTTTCATTTTCAAATATTAGATTTAAAAAGAAAAATTTTTACGAATTCTTAACTGAAAATAATTTGCTAATTTTCGTGATTTTTCCATATTTTGTCAATTTTTGAACTTTAAATGCTTATAAAAAAAAAATTGTGACTAAGGATTTTTAATATTTTTCATCTGCCTTTGAAACAATATATTATGAGCCTTCTATTAAATTTTCAAGCTTTCGCAACCAACAAATAAAATTTAATTTTTATGTTGTTTTTCCCGGCGCTTGTGAAAACTACTGGGAAATTTATACTTTTGACCCCACAAAGTACCAACTAGATTCACTTTCCTATCAGAAAAGCTACTGATGAAGAAAATCCAAGCACTTTTACTGTCCTAAAACGTGATGACAGACACAAAAAAAAAAAAATATAAAAATATAAAAACATACATCATTGTAAAACCAATACATTCATCGCTCCGCTCAGAATCTAAAATGTTGATGTCTGGAAAATGCAAACATAAATATTTGGTGAAAAAGTTTCTACGTTTACTCATTTGTGAATTGCATAATCAAAACAAAATCAATTTTGTCAAAAATTAGTTTTGCAATTGCAAAACATTCAATTGTTTTCGTGTTTTATTTTTCCTGATCATTTTAAAAAGTAATGGACATTTTTTACATTTGACCCCCCCCCCCTCACAATCATTTGTAGTTTGTAAACTAGATCCAATTCGATATCAGAAACCTTCTTTGGAGTTTATGATCGGAATATGTTTTCTACAATAAAAAGAGTGACAAAAACACAAAAAAACGTATAACGTATCTCTCCGCTTAGAATCTCCTATATAATATACAACATTAATACATAATATTGCGAAATTCATCAAATATACTGCAGGAATCGACAACTGGGCAGAATTATTTACATGGTTTGAGTTAAAATTATATTGCATATTCGCATTTAGTAATACTTCCATTTGTTTATGTTTACATTACGATAACTCATGAATTTAATTATAACCATGTAGGCCATTGCCTTATTGAGTGAGTTATCTGTTTAGTTGTGAAAACTGAAAAGTGTGTTAATTATAATATATATTAATAAACGTACTCATGCACAAAAATCGTCGACAACAAATGCATCATAAAAAATTATCATATCACTTTATATGTACAGCGTACGTACCTAATATAGTAATATCATATATCATAGTTTATAAGTATTACAATATTAGGTTTGCGCTATTAATGTATATTATTTATTCGATTATTTATTAGTATTTGCTCGATAATTTATTAAAGTAAGTATACTGTTTACGAGAATATTAAGTCATTGCTTATATTATTATTATCATTATTATTTTAATATAATATTATAATTACGCATATAGACAGAACTACATTTCTCAACACATATGTAAATTAGTCATTACGAATTTTTAACTCAAGAATAAAATATGCACTGGGCACTAGGCATAAGGTCATGCAACTAATACAATATTATGAGATTTCCACACAAATGATTGATTTCGATTATTAACCTTTAGGCGAAACTAGTAACTACTGTAATAACATTATATAATAGTAATCATGACATATTTATAGAGATTTAAGAATCATTTTTCAACAATGAAATTGAATAAACTATAGATAAATAAACAAAAACATAATTACTACCGCCTAACAATGATATCTTGTTTAACACTATTGTGGTTCCAAAAGTTTCAAAGAGACTATCAAATAATTATCTATTGATTGTAAAAAATGGTCAATGTTTAGAAAAAGTCATTTTTTTGATTGCCTTAGCATTTTCCGTTGGTGTAAGGTAAAAAAACTATTTATCCGGAAATAGCTAATTTAATATATTAATTTATGTGAAAATAAATTGAAAGAATCTCAGCAAGCGTAGTCTTAACTGACATTCACTCGAAAACAAAATCGAATTTATAGCTATTTATTTCACTTTCAAATGTATAATGATAATTGGTACAGTATTAATGTATTATCTTCCATCGAATTAAACAATACCTAGGTGGCAAGTATGCATCAAGCTCTTTCTAGTTTTTCGTTCTCACAGCTTAGTAGTGGCATACCTACACTGATTACTGATTATGGGTAATGGGTTCTCAATTTTGTCGACCAAAGTGTATAATATTTTGATAAGATCAAATTTTGAATTATAGCTTTTTGATCAGCGAAATATTTCCTTCTGATGTAATAATAACGTACAACTACGGTATACGGAGGAAAATGGTAATGTAATTTACGTGCGTGTTTATTTTAACAAAAACTGTTAAAATGATTTACTCGCTGATATAAAAATGGTAATATACTTTAATTAATCTTCAGTTATCAACCATGACTTTTTCCTATATATGACCTTATAATTAGATGCTTCTGTAACATAGTTAATGGCTAAGATAACCCCTTCCCTTTTCTAAACTAAATGATGTTCTTAGGTAAATATTAAAACATTATATTGTATGGAACATGAATAATATAATAATATGATTGTAATTAGGTCATTTAAATTAGATTCAAAAGAATATTTACTACCTATCTAAATTAAGCAAAAATTAAATTTCTATAGTTATTAAAATCTAGAATATACAACATGTACCTAAGTAGTTTTTTTTCAATTTTATAAATAAAGTATGGTAAATCTGAGTATTTATTTAATTCCTAACAGTAAATATAATAATGAGATCTATTTCAATTTTTCGATTTTTTTCTAACATTATTAATTGTATGAAAATAGGCATGATTAGAGAAAAAAATTTACCTCCCCCTACCTAGGAACTTTTTTTGTTACACACAGACCATGTGCTTATACAGGATTAATACTTAACACAGTTACACTACAAAATAAATGAATTATTGTACCAAATAAAGGCTATATAATATATAATGTCGTAAATATAAAAAGTAGTTGTACTATACATATTGAGTACATTTTATATATATAAGCACATTATTTTCTAGTCTGAAATTTTAGAACTGGATTTTATCGTGTTACTTATATACCTACTGTGTAAGCTATGTCTGGCATCATTATTGGATAAAAGAGTATAAAGGCTAACTTAATACAGTGGCGGTCAAATAGGGGGTTATGAAGGGAATAGATCCTCTTATGACCTTTTTTTCAATGTTTAAGATCTGATAACCATACATTATATTTTTAATAATCAAATAGTGCAGGTTAAAAAATCAGCTATATCCCTCCCTCCCCCTCTTCCCACTGATAAAATCATTTAACCGCCACTGACCTGCGTAAGCTGATGCTTGGAGTATAGACGCATATATTTTCCTTATTTTCTCTCCAAATTCAGTTTTTTAATTCTTTCCAGTTTCACACGATCCATAATTTCTTTTATTCTTCTAGTTAGTTCTAGTAATATACTACTAATATTCATCCCATAGTCATAATTCATCTGAGAAAAAAGCTACACCCCCGTCTATTTTTTTAGTTAGATTATTCTGTTTTTGAGTTTATATTCCCACTTGCCAAGTTAAACTTATTTCTGTTATTTATTATTAATGTAACTATACCGCTATGAATTTATTTATTTTTTTAGATATTTGTAACATATACGATATAGGTACAATTGTACTACTTATACGGATACATACTGTCCTTTATGTCCGTTTAATAAATAATAACCACATCATATTTATTATTTGTTGGTGTAATACCCTCGTTCATTTGTTTAAACGTGAAAATTATATTCAACGTATATTATTCATTTTTATTTCTAAATTCAAACAATAATGCAGATACGCTGTGTAGCGAGTATTATAATGACATATTGAAGTGTAAGAAAAAGTCAACAGTATAATAGTTACCCCTGTATCCTGTAACCTATTAAACTATCCAAATATAAAGTTTAGACATCCAGAAGGAAAACAACAGTAATATTGTACTGAAAAAGTCCACCGCAAACTAAAAACACGTATTTGTCAGCACTGCATAAGCATTCGCCTACCTATATTATAATTTATAAGTAAATTACATTTTATGAACGTTCTGCTGCAGAGATACTGTACATTTATGATACACGTTTATAGCATAATGCCATAATGTGCATATTATGATGATTAATAGAAGTTGACGACATCAACGCAACCTTTTATAGGATTCAGACCTCCCAGTTGTCGAGTACGAAATGTGTCCTATTTCTTATCAAAGTCTCCGAGACGGGTTTGTACGCAAAAGAAAATGACCGACATTTTTCGACGGGATTTGGTGCTTTATAATGGATACATAACTAGCTGTCTAGAATTATAAAACCGAATACATGTACCCTGCAGAATCTAGACAATATAATATATTGAACGCACGCCTGCTTCGTACTTTTGTATTTTTTCATAATCATTTGTTCAAGTCGAGAGAACCGTAAAAAATTGTGCAGTACTCACCAGGCTCCGGTAACGGGTGACATCTTTTTCTGGTCGGGAATTGTCGGCATTGCTGTTGGCCAACAACGGTTTCTTCTCGCCTTTGCGGCCCATGGCGAACACTCACGGTCGGAAAGCAAACGCCAAATAGGGAACAGGTCGTTTTCCTGTTTTCCAACACGATCTGTCTATTCTACTTTATCGTAAGACGCATACAGCAACTGCACTACTCGTCGACCGTTTTTCAGGTCTGTCGTGCCGACCACATTCCGCGTGGTATGAACGGATGTAATAATAATAATAATAATAATAATAAAATACAAGATACACGGTATGTCAGAGATCATCGACCGTTCGTCGTAAACTGATCTTAAGCAAGGGAACGGCAACGTCAGTCAGCCGGGCACCCACCGCCGACGCCATCGGTGTAGAAGGGGAAGACGAGCTGTTACGTAACACGTCGAGACGGTAAAAATGTATAAACACGTAAAAGAGGTACGTACGACATCGATATAATATTATACCTACCCACTGGCCACAGGCGACCAGCTCACACGCTCATATCGACTTGTACGTCTTGACTCCTATATGGGTAGGTAACTTATCTTTGGAAAATTGACATCACGATCATCTCTGTTCCATACGATATACGTCCTATAGGCATGTCTTTAGTATTGATTATAATGAACATGTATTAATACTAATAGAATATATAAAGTTAATATTACATACAATAATTCTAACATCTATAAGTATTAGGTTAGCCTATAGGTACTTATAATTTATGTTGATATTGAAATATTCACCTTGTAATTACTAAACAATTTATCTTTGTTTTTCCTTTCTAACTTGAGAGGACGCCGTACATTCGTACCTGAGTATCATCTTACTCGTGAATAAAATAGCACATTGTACGTATACAAAATCTTCCATTTTACACTGTTATTTGGATTATTAGGAATATTAGAAATTATCATAACTTGTTTTAAAAGAAAAATATTAAAAAATCCTTTATATTTGATAATACTGTCAATTTGCTCTTATATTAAAAATAATTGATTAAAATGGATTCTTTTTAATATACAATTTGTTATGTTTAGTAATATGGGGTCAACATAAAATTATACTGGTACGACATATTCTTACTGGGAGTGTTACTCTTTAGTATAGTTACAAATTGTTTTCCTAAGTAATTTAAACATTTTGAAAAAATGAATTATTAACCAAAATGTTTATAAGTCAAACAATTGATAATTCCATTTATTACCATACTGTATGGGAATATATTATTAACACAAAACGTATTATTTTATACGTTAACTGCTCACACATATAGCTTATATTAGTTATTCTAGGCAATTTTAATTTATAATTTTAATAACTTAATCAAATGAATCGTAACCATCATAATTAGTTTAGAAATTAGATGTCGTAAATGGTACTGTAACGATGGCCACGTGGAATGAACGGTATGTATAATATCATTGATGGATGTATGGGATTGTGCGGTTGACACATACCTACGATTTACCTACACAATTATTAAGTTACTTAATATATAATATAATAAATAAATAACTTCGATCTCTGCATGGATGTATGGCTGTACGTACATATCGCCATATAGGATACATTATTTATCGTGTCTAATGGTAATATATCATCATTCATCATGCTTCATGACGACTTATGTCTTATATAAATAACAACAATTACGAATGTCCGCACTGCACAGCGAATAATGATACAATTATTGTTTTTCCTCAATAAGTCTGAATTGTTAGTATTGGTCATAGGAAAATCGTCATATTCTATTAAAATGTAAAAGTCAAAATTACAGATGTCCTCGAGAAAATTTCAATATGAGGGTTCCAAGACTGGTAGGCCTCCCTCCTCATGTAGTTCTATATTGCTATTTTTTTTTAATTGAACTCGGGTATTCAACCGGGGAAAAAAATTAACAAACATAAAATATGACGCTATATCGGCCTATTTCGGTTGTAATGTGCCTATCTTAATTGGCCGGAAAATCGTTACTGCGGTGTAGTTATCTCGATATTTCCGAACTAACTTGACCGAAATGGACTAGTCAATCAGGCCGTGGCAGATTGAATATACAACTTGGCAGTCATGTTAAGAATTTGAATTATAATTGTACTTTTCAAAAAATTTCAAAATACTTTTTCCTTGATTTTTATTCCAGAATACTAAATACTTTTCTTGTTTTTACCGTCATATTTCAACGAACAATATTTTTGTTTCGTTACTAAAATAGTTTTAAAAAATGGTCATCAAGATTATCTTGACAATATAATAGGAACCTAAATGTGACATCGGAAATTCTTGAACCAATTAAAGAATGTATTTATTAATAATTATTATAAGTATATATTTGTGAAAAAGGTAAAAGATTTTAGTATAAGTACTAAAAAAAGTAGGTACTTGTGAAATATTTTGAATACTTTTAAAATGTATTTGTATTTATAAAAAAATCCTTTTGAAAGATAGTATTCGAATACGTGTTCTGAATACATTTGAAAAGTATTGGTATAATGGTATATTTTTTAATGTGGTTCAAACTACTCTCTAAACTTTTTTGATATCTTTTAGAATAATCTCGAAACTTTTATTAAAATTGGTAGAGTAGATTTTGTGTCTATAAGCTACAAAAATACACTCATAGCCACATAGAGACATTGCCTTCTTTTGTACATTTGATTAATAAATAATTAATAAAATATTATTTTATTTTATTTAAAAAAAAAAATCCTATAAAAACGCCTGCCAGGTCGGGTAGTCTAAACCATTTTTTTTTAAAATTGTATTTCTATAACCAACGACAACCCTATATATTATTCGATTTTCATGAGCCAAAACGATATACGTGAATCATCCTATAGCAACCTATATGGGTTGAAAAAACTATAATAATAAGAAGCTTAACACACACTTTAGTCTCAAGGATAATATACATTATTATTGAAATCGGTCCTGTTTAGTTTATGAAATTATCCATTGACTGTTAGTAAAAAACTTAATTCAAATTTTATATAACTATAGATTAAAAATAAAAAGTTTATCTGCACAATTGAATTAATATTGCTTATAGGCAAATAATAACAATGCTGATTGAATGTGTAAAATCATAAGAGCCAGGTTTTAAAAAACTTAATGGGTTCCTTGGTATCATACTATCATAGGCATAAATACATAATTTTGGGGGAGGGGGCTTAGCCACTGGTCAAGATAATGTCCCCGTAAAATTTAAAAAATGGGATTGTCTTTTCAGGTGGGGCTAGTTACAATTTAACCCCCTAAAATTTTAATTTTGGTTCTCCAAATTGCTCCTATTGGTGTCATAATTTTACTACTTAACCAAAAACGTTTACATTTTCTTATGGATTTTATTGGTGTATACAAATATTAAATAAAATATACCATGTTGTACACTGAAATATGCGATCATCATTGATTATAAAATATATTAATTATACAACAAAATAAATGTATACCAAATTGATAACTTATTAAGAAATAATAATAATATCTAAGTAAAACACAAAATAAAATTAATTTAATTTGACTGTTCAGAAAATAAATATGTTTTGACGTATTATAGGTTAATTTATAAATAAGTTAGCTTTTAGCTATCAATAACTTCATTACGACGGATATACAGTAAAGCAATATCGTTTAACTAAGACGATTTTGTTTCATTGTAGACCTTAAAAAATATGTTTTTAATCTTCAAAGTGCTGAAAAAGATCATTCCGAAGTACAAGACGATACCGGAACAGCCAAAATAATAATAATTTTGTAATTTGTCTCATCAGCCATAGATTGTTGATGGATACCTCAGTTGTGATTGAATATCTACCACGATGTTGGTTAGTGGTTACAAAAACCGTACTATCTCAAGGAGGGTTTTCACTATACACGTTTGCTTGTACACGAAAAATGTTCAGCTATGTAAAACAACAAGGTATCATGATTCGTGGTTAATTGTGTGGACGTGTGGTAACTTAACCTATAACCAACCAATCACGGCAAAAGATTTGTATGCACGTACACACTTACGTGTATAGTGGAAATCCGCCTTTACATTTTATTATCAATACAAATAATACAATTTATTTTTGTTATAAAAATTGCAATTTTTATCACAGCTAGAATTTTTTTTTAATAGTCATTTGCTAAAATTGTTGAAACTTGAATATAAATACACGCTATACATTTTCAATATTCTAATGGGTGCCCAGCACCAAATAATACATTTAATGGGTGCTTGAGCCCCCGTTCGCCCATGTACCTGGTTCCTATGTGTACAATAACAAATCGTCGATGTATACAATAAAAAGTTTGTTTGTTCTAGTGGTACCGAATTAAAACGAATCACTTTAATTCTGGATTGAAATTTCTAGAACGAATCATTTTATACGACGTCATTATTCATGGCAATCATCGTATTTATAAACAAAAATGTCCATCTGAAATCTCAAAATTCCCGTTTGAGCACCTCCCGGGGTTGGTCCTCTCCCTTTTCAAATTAGCCTATCTTTTAAGTCGGACCAAATTACCACAGTGTAAAAATTTCATCAAGATCGGTCCATTCAGTAGTTTCGGATTTTTTCCCGGAGACCCGGACAAACACGTGACACGAGATTTTCATATATTATATAGGTAAGATATACCTTGCAAGCAACAGCGCATATTAACCAGACATAAAAAATCTTTCAAATAACGTGAAGTAAAATGTTCCTTACAATCAATAAAAGTTGATTTTTTCCACATCATTATCCCTCATTTTACATATATATTTTGTAAAAATTTTCTGTGTTAACAAATATAGTTGGTGGCACGGCTGAATTTTTTTTTCAATTGTGTCATAAGTTGGCACGTTCAACAAATCCTATTTGCCATCCCTGATCTAGTTGGTGCATTCGGGAGGTTAAAATTCCCAGTAGTTTTCAAAAGAGCTATAAAAAACAAAAAAAAAATGGGGAAAAACTAGAAGTTTTACCCAAAATCGGTTTCCGACCAAATCAATTTTGGTTTTTAGTGTAACTCTAAAACAAATGACAATAGATAGTAGATACATAACATTTTCATTGAAT